ATCCAAGAAGTAGAGGTGAATCTGTTATAAAACAGCCAAGTAAGTGTTCAGATTGAGATATAAACACTTTTTTTTTTTGCATATTTAATTATTCTTGAAGGTGTCCTTTTCTTTTTCTTTTTTTTTCCATTTTCTAATGAGGCTTTGAGGTCAATATGCAATACCTTCAGAATTCTGAGTATCAGATGTAATAATGTAGAACTCGGGACAAAAATAGTATAATGAACTGGCACTCTGCAGAACAAATATAGATACTTAGATTATGCTGCTCAACCCTCTCATGTCTTCAGTGACCTATAATTTCTTGCATCAGAAAATACTGAAATTAAAGTACTTCTTTCCTGTAATACCAAGGTGGGGTTATTCTGCTACATTTGGAAAATAGAGAATTAAAAGAATAGTGAGTCAAACTATTTGATTTTTTCGATATTTATTTCTATCTTAGACTATTTCTAAAAAATATTTACTGTTTTTTTTTCATTGCCTTTATAGCATCGATTTCTCAATTTTATTTTCTTATTTGGAAGTACGAGACTTCCCACTTGGGTCTTGGTCATGTTTATATCTCTAGCACCTAAACTAAATGTTGATTCAGTGAACAGATGGCAGAAGATAATCAGTTTGTTTATCTGAGCCCTCAAAGTATATTTCTGGTCTTTATTTCCATATAGAATGAATAATAGCTAATATCTCCAATGATTTTTACTGAAGAAGTAATGGCAAATATCTGATGAGTAGATTCAGTACTGCCACAGTAAATTTGCCTTCCCATCCCATAAAGAAGGTCCGCTCTGCCTGCTTCCTGGCCCTCGGACTTCTCTGGGACAATATAGCGAGCCAACCCTCAGAAATCTCTGCTATGCTACATTTGATGATTTACTCAGACGCTACAGCTGATTTTTAGTCTTCCCAGGCAGTTTTAGTTTCTTGACCCTCGTTCAGTTGTTATATGTGAGTTCTGGCTGTTTTTTTGCCCCTAGGTCTTTTTAGGCTGAGTGCCTGCTTTTGCAAAAGAAAATCATATGGTTGTCTCTCTTGCTTTCCCAAATGCATGGTCTCCACTTGCCCTTACTCGTCTCAGCTGCCCAGTTCTGTTCACACAGCTTTTCCTGAATCTGAATGCAGTACAGTTTCATTATTTGGGTAGCACTGAAAGTTTTGCATTCTCTCTCCATCTAGTCTTTTTTAATAGACTCCTCAGAACAATAGGTTCCCATTCTTATTTAATGAAGCAAACAGCAGAATTGTTCCAGCAGATACTTATCAGACATTTTTATTTGATAAAAAAGTATAAGGGAGGTGATGGGATCCATTAATAAGTGACATTATTTGGACATAGAGTATGCTTGTGACATTCATGCCTACAGGAAGAAAGGCCCCATCCCCATCTTGCTGGACAGTGAGCTCTGTGAAGACAGGGGCCATGACTGTTGCGTCCAGTATTTGAGCCCCAGTGCCTAGCCCAGTTCAGTGTCTGGCCATGGTAGGCACATGATAAATACATGTTGAATCAATAGCTTCTTACAAATTGGTTAACTGCAGAAATTAGGGGTTGTTTTCTCTTTAAAGAAAATGATGTAAGTTTGCATCAAAGGATATTGTGCTTTGTTTCTAAAACTTACCTTGTAGTTAAAGCTGATAGACCAGTAACAATGGTGAAATATTGATGAAGGACACATTTCTTTTGCCTGTGGAATATTTCTATAGTCTACAGTCTTTCTGACCATGTGTTCAGCTGAGCATTTTCTGACATTACAGCATTTTGAATCTCTGCTGAAGCTCTTGAGAGGCCGGCAAGTGATTACGATGCCTTAACATCACTTATTCTCTACAATTGGATCACCATAACACACTGATTTCTCTTGAGCACCCAGGAAGCCCAGACAGTTATTCTGATGAGCGAAAGTAAGGAGAGCAAAGGGCTTCTCTCCCTTTTCCCAAGTTATCTGGTCCCTCTAGAATCAAATAGTTGGGCCTTTAATGTAGAGTAGAATTTCTCAGCTTTAGTACTGTTGACATCTGGGCTGGAGAACTTTTTGTTGTAAGACTGTTTCGTGCATTGTAAGATGTTTGGCAGCATCCCTGGCCTCTACCCACTAGATAACACTAGCACTGCCCCCAATAACCAAAAAATGTCTCCAGGCAATGCCAGATGTCTCCAGGGTGACAATTTGGTCCCAGTTGAAAACCACAGATATAGAGGGCTTTATTGAACTGATTGTGCTAACACCAGAATGTGATACTGGCAGAAGATGACCTGATAATTGTCTGTGGCAAAAGCATAGGGACAGTTCTCATAGACGGATGGCTGGGTATTCAAGAGTTTCATGGGCCAGACACCTGGACATGAATCTCAGCGTCCTCTATAGCTTTCCCCCTTTATCCCACATCTTATCCCAATCTATCCCTCATAACAACCATTCCAACTCATAAATGCCTCCTCTGTCTTCTTGTATCGTTAAGGCTAAAATGCTAACTTTGCTCCCAGATTCTAAAATTGACAAACTAGTATTCTTGTGCATCTGCTATGAGTTAGCCACCCTGCTGATATGTACATTATCTCATGCAATCCCCTCACCCACCCCAAGAGAGTTTTCTGTAACTGTTCTTACCAGCGAGGAAATGGATGCAGAAATTCACACAAGTGGTAGAGTTTGGAATAGTCAGTGGGTCTTCTGACTTCGTTAACAAAGTATTGTATCATATTGTTCAAATCTCACCAATATCTACTTGAAATAGAATCACTATCTGGTTGAAAATTTAATCAGTATCTGCTTGAAGCTGTGGAGCTCCTGGCTTGTGAATAAGAATCATGTTAGAGAAATGTGTACGCAAGGTCCTAGAGCCATAGATGTTGGAAGAAAGGAGGCTCTCAGATGTCATTACACGGTGACCACTTTGTGATCATCATTCTGTCATCCAGCAAATATGTGTTGAGGGCTTATTTCATGCCAGGACCTCTGTACATCAGTCAAGACAGACAAGGTTCCTGCCTGTATAGAACTTATATTCTAATAGAGTAACTATCCAATACACAAGTAAACAGAAATATAAAGAACGTACTTACAGATTGTGATAAGTGCTGTGAAGAAAATGAGCAGTGAAAGGAGATAATTGGGTGAAGGGGGAACTTCCTTACATAGCGTTGTCCAGGAAGTTATCTTTGATCTCTGCACTTCCCACAACACTGTACAGCACTTCCTCAAAAAATGTCAGTACCTGTCCTTGAGTACCTGGTACAGAGCAGGTGCTCCTAAACCTTGGTTGTGTGAAAAACCATGATGGAGTGCTTTTTTTGTAGCTTCAGAGTCTAAAAATCTGTAATAAATATATTGGGTGTTTTTTTTTTTTTTCCTGCTATAACAAATCACCGCAAATTTAGTAACTTAACGCAACACAAATTTATTATCTCACAGTTCTGGAGGTCAGAAGTCATCAAGGTGTTAGCAAGACTGTGTTCCTCCTGGAGGTTCTGAGGAGAATCTACTTTCTTGTCTTGTCTTCTAGAGGCCGCCTGCCTTCCTTCACCTGTGGCCCTATCTTCTTTTGTCAAAGTGAACCGCATAGCATGTTCCCACCTCTCTCTGATTCTGACCCTCTTGCTTCCCTTGTAATTACATTGCCTACCTATGGAATCCTGGATAATCTTCCCATTTTAAGATCTTGACTTAATCATATCTACAAAGTCCCTTTTGCTGCGTAAGGTAACATATTCACATGTTCCAGGAATTAAGTCACCTTTGGGGGCCACGATTCAATCTGTCACAGCAAGCAATAAATATTAGTTTTATCTCCGTACCTGCCTTATTTAACAGATGTAAAATGAAGTTAAATGAATTTACGAAAATCACATACTTGGATATAGCTTTAGACCCTGGTCACTCCATCTAAATATGTCATCTTTATTCTCTCTATATCCAAACTCTGTTCTTTTCTTTACAGCACACACCACACTTTACATTTCTTTGTTTTGTTTTCTTATTAATACAATAACACTTTTATTCACCCAGGTATGGCCATCATGCAGTCTGTGCCTAGACATATAGTGTGCATGCCTCTAAAGATTTTTTTGAATGAAAGAATGAATAGTCTTTCACATGCTTGGGTAAACAGAACCCAGTCTCCTATGAATTTTTCTGTGCAGTGGCTCCTGACAAGTTAAAAATCCTTAACCATTTTTAAAGCATCAAAGGAAAAAGTGAACTTCAATGTTGGTCCATAATTTGAGTTGATAAAGACAAGACCCATACCTGGCATTATATTTTCTCATCCACTAGTGCTGAACTTTCCTTTTTGGTATGCTGCAAGGCACTGTGCATTTGAACATGGTGTCCTGTATTTGGATCTCCCCTATACAGTGCTTTATGTATTGACATCTTAGCATCAACAGTCTCTTGAGAGCCCCTGAATGGCTTACTTCATAATTTCGATCCATGATTAGAGAAGAAGAAAGGCAGAAAATCTAACTGCATGCTTTATTATCGCATTGGCTTTTCTCTATTTAACCTTAAATGTCACAAAGAAGGAATAAAATCACAGTTTTACTGAACCATGCATTTATGAGTTCACTTAGTAAGTTGTATGGCACTTAAAATGAAAAAAAAAAAAATATATATATATATATGTTAAAAAGTATAGGTCATCTCCAACACAGAGAATGCATTCTTAGAAGTCTTAAATGACAGTCCCTTATGCTAAACAACTAAAGGACGGAAGGCAAAACACAACACCTCCTGTTATGGAAGACAAATTATATTTATTTTACAGAAGTACTTCGCTTAGCTTCACATTGTCCTTAATCTCACCAAGTGAAGACACCGTTTGGTCAAACATACTTACATCTGACGTCCTTTTCTCTTAGGAAATAAATACCTATCATTCAAGGTGTTATCGAAACAATGAAAACATACGAAGCCAAAGGGAGGTGCCTTCTCTTCTGGTATAGCTTTTAAGATCCCAGATCCTTGATCTCACTTGTAATGTGTTTGCTTTGGTTGCAGTGGCCAAGGATGTCAATATTCTTTTTGATGAATTAGAAGCTGTCAACAGTCCTTGCAAAGATGATGATTCTCTCCTTCACCCTGGAAACCTGACCAGTACTTCAGATGATGCCAGCAGATTGGAAGCAGGGGGAGAGGTAAGAGTGTGTCATTTCCTAAAAACATAATTCTTGATTCGGGCAGGAACCCATAAAGCATATTTCAATGGACAGTTTAATGTAATCATCTCATTGAACTTTAGGTTCCTGGAAAACAAGGGGCAGGTTTTAGATACCTTTGGTGTACTCTGTGGTCTGGTAGATTTTGGGGATCCCAAATCTACTTAGGCTCAAACAAACTGTCAGTGGGTGAGACACTTCCCATGTTATACCTGAAGATTTATACAGAAGGAGATTGTTAAAACCACCTGTCATTTTAAGATAATTGACATTCTGGGTGTCACTAACTAGTAAAAAGTAAGCTTTACAAGGATGGACTTCCTTGTGTAAGTTCCCCAACACCTAGAACAGTGATGCAGATGGACCAGCCCTCAGTAGATTGTGTTGTCTCCAGCATCTCTGAGTTTCCATTTGCCTCTGTAATTTGGAAACTCATTGTAATTGTAAATAGACCCATCTGTTCATATATCCTTTTGGAAAGAGAAGTATTTTGTTAGAGGCATTCACTTTTGCTCAGGTTGTGTCTCAATAGAGTTTGATATCTCCTTTGTATATGCACTGGATATAGATAATAGGAATACAGAATAAACATCATTTGTTTACTACATATTCCTAATGTCTTTATTATTCCAGAGCCATTAGCCATTGAAAGGATTACATATTAGAACAAGGAAAATTGTTTTCTTCTACTAAGCTTCCCGGACTTCTCCCTACAAACACCATATGCTACTATCTATGTTACTTTATTTTTTAAAGAATAAAACCATTTTATCATCGTCCTTCACACAGATACTTTTAATACTATGATATGATATAAAGGAGAGATTGTGAAAGGACCTCAAAAAGCAACTAGTCTCATCTCCTTAACTTATAAGTGAGGAAATAGTCTCAGGAAGGTTAGGCCTTTGCTAACCCTCCTCCTGATGCTTGTTTTTGCAGGCAGGTCTTGATGTGCTAAATTTATAGGATAGCTCCCTTGCATGGCAAATAATTGTTAAGAAAGTGTTTACTTGGATAGGCTTCTGAGTACCTCTTAAGGCAATCAGTGAGAATTAGTCATCGATTGTAAACCTCTACACCAAGTATGAGACATGGGTATTTTTATCCCTCCTGGCTAAGATGTTCCTTTTGGATGAGATTGCATACATGGCAGTCGTATGCAAGAATAGAGTTTCTGGCAATGGCCTTGGTGGTTTGGCATGTTTGCCTTTTTCATACTGATATTTGGAAACTGATATATACTGTGGCCTAGAGAAAATGTCGCTCCCCCATTTCCATTTGCTAGTTTACAGACATGTTTTTTGAAATCTCTCAGCCTGAGAATCCTGGTTCCAGCCTGCCCACCCCCTACTGGATGGTCTCCTTCAGTGTTGTACGTACATGATTACAACAGGCCCATGGAGCCTGGACAAAAATTACACCTACTATTTTATTTCTGTAATTTTTATATATGTAATCACTGCAAAATAATATTTGCAACTTATGTGTAAGTTACAAAGCATAATAATAAAATGAACTCCTTGAACCACCATCCAACTTATAAACTAGAATGGTATTTTTCAAATTATGGTGGCAACCTAATTGTAGGTTACCAACTCTAATTGTTTTTTAATGGAATGGAAAATTAATATAAGTGTGTATGCAAGTAGAAAGGGTAAGTATTATTGTGTAAAGCTTTTGTCTCAGATATTTTGTGTGTGTTTACATATATACACAAATATCACAAAGTTAAATGTTTTTCTTACTGTGGGCAAAAATATTCAAGAAACATTGAACCAGCATGTTACTAAAGCTATCAAAGCTACTTGAATCCCATTCCACTACCAGAGGTACCATCTTTCTGAATTTTTGTGTTTTTTACTCTCTTACTCTAAAAATAGTTGTACCACATATATATGTAGCCTTAACAACTTCTTTTAGATTTACTTAGTGCTTTACAAAAAGTGGTATCACGTAGTATGAAGTCTTCTGTGACGTGCTTTTTTCTGACAATATTGTTTGTAAGATTTATGTTTACTATTGGATGCAACTGTAGTTCAGTCATTTTCGCTGCTGTATAATCTATTTTATGACTATTCTATAATTTATCTATTTACTTGTTCATGGACATTTGAATTTATTCCACATTTTTATTTTCTAATGAACAATGTTGCTATGAATATTCATATACATGTCTCCTAGTTGCTGTATGAAAAATTTCTCTAGGATTATATGTTATGCAAATGTTCAATTTTACAAGATAATATCATTGTGCTTTCCAGGGTAAGTATATCCGTTTTCACTCTCACGTGTAGAATATTAGAATTCTCAGTTGCTGAACATCCTTGCCAAACATTTGGTATTGTTAGGTGTCCTAATTTTTGCCCAATGACTCAATGCTTTTTCCAATTTTTATTTTGTTTCCTCTTGTTTACATTTTTATTAATAAAAAATGTAATTTTGATAAAACACAAGAAAAATCCTTTTAGTTTTAATTGTTCTTTAAAATTACTCACCTAAGGCTCAGTTTTACAGGTGTTTTACACCGGTCCCTTTCTCTTTGAATACAGGCAATGCGGGAAAAGAACAAATCGAATGGACTCTACTTCAGAGATGGAAAGTGTCGAATTGACTATATTCTTGTGTACAGAAAATCCAACCCCCAGACTGAAAAGAGAGAAGTATTTGAAAGAAATATCAGAGCAGAAGGGTTACAAATGGAGAAAGAAGTAAGTAGTTTGTTTGGATGAGAAAATATATATACATCTATTCATATCAAGAGGCAATTGAAAAATAAGCGGTTAGTCATTATGTAAACAGAATGTTTTATTTGGTCAGAGTTTGCTAATCTGCAGTGTTTGGGGAATATTCCAGTAATTAAACTTTTCTGGCACAATTTGCCTAGAGAGTATTTCAATGTCAAGTGATCTCATGAAAATCAAAATACACTATTCCAATTGAATAGATTGCCTCAAAGTGTTAATTTACCTGACTTCCTTCATCTGCTTCTTGTTTGTCTAGTCTCATGAGTTAAAGAAAATTTCAGATAAAATGCAATCACCCCACTTTGGAGGCTCTTTTTACATTTCAGGAAATATAATGAGCTTGGGCATCCTCACACAGCAGAAGAGACTGCCTGGCTGATTTGTCCAAAACAGCCGGAACTTACAAAATGATTCCAGTTTTAAGGAACTTTCAGGTTGTTTTTATCATGTTCTCAGACTTAAGAGTCACCTTACCAGTATTTGCTCTCCCCTTTCCCTCCTTCCTCTCTGTATGGGGATTTTCAAGGAAATACTTAGTCAGGAAAGTGTGAGAGGTCCAGCCAGGCCTCTGATAATAATCCATGATAAGATTATTGGGTACCCAGAAATACCGTGTGCATTTATAGAACTTGGCCCTGGTAGGTGGATTACGTAACTCCTCTCAGATTTTCCCTAAATATTGTGCAAAGATTGTGGAGCTTTTCATAGTCAATAAGGAGAATATATTGGCAGTTAAATTTTTTGCTTCCGATTCTGCTCCTTGAGGCTGAGGGGATAGATCTTTGAAATCAGACATTCAGGTGTTTTCGTTGTATGGTACAGGTTGCATGCTGATCTTGGGACACTTCAGATAAGTGGGATTTTTCCAGCTCTGTTAGACTGGTCTCAATTCTTGAGGATTTATAAAACAGAAACTGTATTTTTCTAGAATGTCTCCAAAAAGAGAGTTAGAAAAATGGTGAGATGAGGGTGGCCTTAAGGGAATAAGTTCTCATTCTCAGGAAATTGAATCAGTTTATTCAAAAGACTGTCTCAGTTGGCGGTTCCCCCAGAGTAAACAGAATTAAATATGTTGTTTCTCTCTTTTGTGGGGTTCCAGAAAATCTTTCCTGTACCTATTGAACATATCTTTGATAAATCTCGATCCTTAAGTCCTTATCAAGACAACTGTATACTCTCTTCTTAATGTTAATAGCACATTAATATTTTTTATCCTTAAAAGCCATGTCTCATCTTTCATTCTTACCCCTAAGTTTCAGAATTTTCATATAAAGAAATAAAAGCTCTGTATTGTTACATGATCCTAAATAATGTCAGTTCTTTCTCTGATCTACTCTGTCAAAATTTTGATTCCCATCAAAACTAGGTAGCTTTATTCGATTAATGAAAAATATATATATTTTTAAGCTTTGTAATTATTTTCTCCATCTGAAGTTCCTTCTACATAGGTCTTTTCAATGTCATTTCATGATTTATTAGTTAAAACTCAAAAGGCCTCATAGTTTTTCAAATGATACACATTACTAAAGAGGTGACAGATCTCTTATGTGTCTCCTAAGATATCTAGACCACAGTATTCATCTACCAGAATTAGAGCAGGTATCTTAGGAGGGTTATTCTGCCTTTCGTTACATGGTTATGCTGACCATGGTGTAATGGTAGACTGCTTTTATTATTTTGGTTATATACAAGATAATTTTGTTTGATTATATCTCTTAAAATTTTAAATAACTAGGTATTTATTTTAATGTTTAGTAGGAAAAAATAGCCATTGGAAAAAGGATGATGACAAAACTTTATAAAAACTTAGCATCTCTTCCTCCCCCGGCCTCCCATGTTCTTCCCTGGGCGACAGCTTCCTTACTTACCCTTTATCGCACAATCGTCAGTCCACTACCAACAGCTAGGTTTTCCTCTTTCTGGAACCTTCTTCATTAGTAGCCTTTCTCACTGCCTGGCTCCCAGCTTTCCCTGCCGCCCACACCTTTTGCATAAGTGGCACAATTGGCTGTAACTCAGCCTCTGAGCTCTGCTGTGCATCCTCACGGCCTCGGCCAGCTCAGCAAGCAGGAGGGGACTTTGCAGGTTCGTCCCTGCTTAGGAAGCAGCAGGAAATTCTAGATAAATTAATTTTTTCCCTGTCATGAATAATTAAAATGTTTCTTGGTTGAACAGTAGACCTGTTTCTACATGATGTTATGAAATTTAGAAATCATGAGAAGCACACTTATTTAAATCAAGTCTTTTATAAAAAGCTGCAACAGAGAGACAACAATTTTAAGAGCTATTTCAGCTTCCAGAAGTTGCTTCAACCTTTTATACATAAAACAAAGAACTTAGTTCAAGGTAGGAAAAGAAAGAAGAAAACCCAGGAAGCTTACTGTGAATCTATATACATCTGAAATGATTAACACTAAGTACATTTTGTGAATTACTAGTATCTTCTTGGTTAGCTATGTGTCGTGCTGTCCAAAAATCATAGAAAACATGTTTTATAAACTTAGAGGTTTATACTTCCAAATGGATAAAGACAGGCTCTGTACTTGAACAATTTAACAGTAAGAGTCTTATCTCTTTTAACATTGAATGTCAAGAGACACAGTTAGGAGAATGTTTAATTCATGATAAAAGTGAGGACATAGTTAAATGTAATCTTTCTTAAAATCTTTGCCGCAGCCTGATTAGTCAGTAGGTAAGTGCTTACTTCGGCACCCCGGATCTTTAATATTCTGTAACTCATATTAACCCACAGAAAGCAAAAGCACAGCAAAATTCCCAAATAAAGTATTTCTGAGTGATTTAGTATCTATCTATTTTAAGTGATCCCCTTTCTAAAGGCACACTCATTTATATTAATTCACATTTTCTATTTTAGATTTTTTTTTAATTTTTAATTTTATGATCACCATTGATGCTTTGGTACCTACTCTGAAATCATTAATAAGTTTATATTTTCTTTTGTATAAGTAGTCAAGCCATGGATAACTTTTGAATTATTTAGAATGTGTGAATAGCAGTTATATTAATGGAGCACATGGCCTCTTCAGAATCATGCGGAACATGAGAGAAAACCCATGTCATTAAAGTCATTACAAAATAACTGTAATTAGATAAATCATACTATATTGATGATAGTTAATTCATTCAACAAATATTCATTGCACCCTCATTCTGTGCCAGGCACTGCTTTAAGCACTAAGAACTCAGCAATGAATAAAACAAACAAGTTCCTGTTGGAACTTAGGTACAAAGTAAATAAGTAAATATATATATATAAAAAATATTAGTAATTGCTAAGGAGAAGAAAGAAAAGCATGAAGTATCGAGAGGGGCTTGCAATTTTATAAAAGTTGGCAAATGTGGGCCTCTCTTCCAGGAAAAGAGAACAGCAAGTGCAAAGGCCCTGAGGCAGAAGCATGCCTAGTGTGTTCATGAAACAGTGAGGAGGCCAGTATGACAGGAGTTGACTGAGCAAGGCGGAAAATAGTAAGAAATGACATCAGAGAGGCAATAAAAGCCAAATGACGTCAGGCCTTTGTGGTCACTGGGAAGCTTTAGCTTTTCTCCGAGTGACATGGGAAATCCTTGGACAGTTTCAAGCAGAGGCATGATGAGATCTGGTTTCTATTTGATTAGGGTCACTCTGGTTGCCTGGTGGTATGAGACTTTGGGAAGGGGAGAGGTGGCAAGGGCAGAAGCAAGGAGAACAGTTAGATGGTTTTGCAGGAATCCAGGAAGGAGATGATGGTGGCTTGGTTAAACACACAGATGAGAAGAATAGAAAGGAGAGCTTATGGAAATTACAGGCAGATTGAATGAGTTCTGTGAGAGAGAAGAATCATAGGCTATTCATGTGTCATATGCTATTTATTTTAAAGAGTTGAAAGAAAGAAGTTGCCATTTAAATGGATGCAAAGAAGAGCGGATCCCCTTGTAGACATGTTAAGTTTGAGGTGTCCCATTGGTGGAGATGTTGAGTAGGATAGAAGAGTCTAGGAGACAGGGAGAGATCTGGGCTGGAAATATACATATGGATGAGATCACCAAAGGAATGACTAGAAATGAAAAAGAGATCCAAGAATTGAGGGGTGGAACACACCTGTGTTATGAAGTTGGAGGACAGAGGAATCCACAGAAAGGAGCTAGAGGGAAACTTAGAGGATGTGGTACCTCCAGGAAGGTGTTTTAGGAGGGATGGAGTTATTGATTGTGTTACATGCTGCTGAGGGGTGAGTAAGATCAAGACTGGGAAGTTGGCCGTTGAATTTAGCCATGTAGAGGGTTTTGGTGAGCTGGGTAAGAGAAGTTTCCTTGGAGGGGTGGAAGCGAAAGTGTGGTTGAAGTGCTCAAGAAAGAATGATGGTAGAAAATTTGGAGAAAACAAATTTAGTTTTCGAAGGACATTCACTATAAAAGAAAAGAAAGAAATAGGATGACAACTGGAATAAGTTGGGTCAAGGAAGAACCCTTTCTATATAAAATGAGAGAAATAACTTGCTAATAGAAATCATTTATTTGAGAGGCAAAATTGATGTCGTAGAAGAGCAAAGAAAGAATTTTAGGAGCAGTGTCCTTGAAGCAGTAAGAAAAGAATGACCACAAGTTTCTCTCATCATGTGGCCCCACCTGCCAGCATTGTGCCCACAGACATGGCCTCTCCCTTCTGGCACGAGGGCTGTCCTTACCATGCTTCTCGCTAAGGCCAGTCCTTCATCCTCACAGTCCTACTCAAGGACATTGCCCCCAAAGAGAAAAAATAAGCTTTAAAAATAGAAATGCACAAAATAATGCAATCTGTCAAAGCAATTTGTTTCTGTTTTCACTGGTCTCTGAGAAGGACTGAAAAATTTTAACTGCAGTAAACACATACACAGCACTCAAGGTTGTGTATCTTGGACATTTTTCTTTGCAATGGTGACAAAATGGTATTAAAATTTTTCACTCTTGCATTTATTAATCACTTA